CTGGGCTGGCGGGTGGGGGGCGACGCACCAGACCCTACTTAGATTTTCTCACTCTAGGTTCCCACCCCAGGATCCCCGAGCTCACCGAGACCTCACAGACTGGTGATTGTCACCATGGCTGATTTTCATGCAAACCCCATGCCCTTCTAGCCCCCGGATTCCGGGACAGGTCCCAGCCACAGATCTGCACTGTCCTTCCAAGAGGAAGACCCGGGACTCTGGCGTCTCCCTCTGAAGACCCTCCAAAGTATGAATGGCCCCTGGGCCTGAGAGAGAGGAATCATGACTTTGATGTCAACGATTTTCCATGAATTTTTCTAGCTCCCAGGAAGAGCTAATAGCAATGCCTTTCCTGTAGGTTTTGGAAACATTTCATCTAAGAGAAGCTGCATAATTATCTACTGTATTCTTTGATGGAAGTCTGTCTGTAAGTCAGTCAGCGTTTCTCTGTCTGTCTGTCTGTCCTCTTCTCTCTTTCTGTCTCTGTCTTTCTCTGTCAGGTACTGTGCTAAAGCTGTTTATACAGGGAATATAGAGGCAGAAGCAGAAGCCTTGGGAGATTACTCTACTTGCCCAAGTTCAAATAAATATTACAATGGTTTATTAACCAGGACATTCTGGTCTCTCCCAAACACATACTGGGTGTTTGCTGTATATCAGGCTTCAGGAAGCACAGGGCATAAGGCATGCAACTCCCCCCCCCATCAGAGAGTAGGGGAGGGTCTGGGAAGGTGTCCCAGACTAGGTGTCATTTGCATTGGCTTTTTAAGGAAGAGTTTTTTAGGCAGGGAGAAGGGGAAGGGTGTTCTGTAAGAAGGAGATGTATGGACAAAGATAGGGCTGCAGGAGAGTTGAATACCAAGGCTGGAAAATCAGAGACTGCAGCATGACAAATGCCAGGAGGTGAGCTGGTTACATCTGGTAGGGGCAGAACCTGAGGGACCTTGGCTACCAATTTGGGAACTTGGACTTTTCCCTGACATCCCTGGAGGGCTGTTGGAGATTTGTTTTACTATGAACAATTTCAAACATACACAAATGTGATGAGAAAAATAAAAACAATCTTCCATGTTCTTATTACCCTACCTTAACAAGAATAAGTAGTTTACCATTTTTGTTCATTGAAGATTTTTAGGTAGGGCAAGGCAGAGCTAGAAGTGGGGTGGGGTGGGGGGGTGTTGGATGGAGAAAGCAGAAAGGAGGCTGTGGTGGGAGACACAAGAAGGGTCGTGACAAGTCACACAGAGGAGGGGAACAAGCAGATACCTACAGAGGGGCAAAGTTGACAACAGAGGAGAAACGAGTGAGGAGATGTTGGAGAGGGTCTAGGATGAGCACAAGATTGAGAGTCGGTCGATGGGTTGGATGGGGATTGCCTCCTCCCCGCTTCCCATCATCTGCCCCAGTCTGGGAAAGGGACACAAGGCAGGTGTATCATCAGGCCCCAGGATGCTTTTCGGACTAGAAGCCTTGCATTTGCTCTTAGATCATTTGTCTTTTTTCTGCTAGGCCTGATTTTATCTTCCCAAGGTTGAATGGTAAAAACCTGGTCATTTTTCCTGGAGACAGTTTCTATGATAATCACTCACAGTTATTAATTTCCAGCCTCATGCTGGCCATGGCACAAGATCTTGGGTGGCATGCACTATCAAGTGGCTGTTTGTTCAGACTTGATTATTTTACTATCACTTGGGAGGCAGTGAAGCTGCTGGAAGTGGTCAGAGACAAAGGTCAGTCCTTCTTGACCTTTCTTTTCTTTCTTTCCTTTTTTTTTTTTTTTTTGTTTTGAGTGGGAGTCTCACTTGCCCAGGCTGGAGTGCAGTGGCATGCTCTCAGCCACTGCAGTCTTGACCTATTGGGCTCAGGCAATCCTTCTGCATTGGCATTCCAAGTAGCTGGAATTACACACACATGCCACCATGCCTGGCTAATTTATTTATTTATTTATTTATTTATTTTAGAGATGAGGT